CCTTTTGGCTGTGAGTAGCCTGTTGACTAAGTAATCAAATGCTTGGATATCAAAGGGAAAAAAGATCTGCCATGTTGCACAAAAGCATTTCTATAAATAAAAGATTGCAAATGAGTGGAGGTGAACTAAGGTGATCTACTGCATGCTTTTTTTGTTGGTCATGAGAATCAAGAGAAACACTTATTACTATGAATATAGGTTATTAGCTGTATTGATTTATAAGAGAACAGTTTTATATAATCTTGATAACTGACTACTATGTTTAACATATCTTCATTCTAGTGAAGTTCATATTGAAAACTAACCCCTACATGAAGTTATAAGAAGGTATGGGAATACAGGACTTTGGGGAGATGGTTATGCCATGAGGTTATAGCCCCCAATTATGGGGTTAATAGCATATTAAAACATATTCCAAGACTGAGGATATAGCACAGTGAGAGAATAGAACACTTGTTTAGTAAATGCAAGGCCTTGGGTTTGGTCCCCAGCATTGGAGAGACAAGGAGGACCAGGAGGAGAAAGTGGGGGGAGCAGAATGAGGAGACTCATCCTTTCTCAGATAGGTAAACATTAGCTCCCTTGGAGGTCATGGAAAATAGACTCCTGGAAATTAGTTTTGTAACCCTCTCCTGTGTCCTAGGGTAAAACCAAATGCTATTGTTCTAAAGGGGAAAAGTAGCAATAAAATGACATTCTGCTATACTCATAGATCAGGGCCTTGCTCAGCCATCATCAGAGAAGTTTCCTCCTACAGCAGATGGTAACAAATATAGAGACCCATAGCCAGGCATTCTGCAGAGAATGGGAGATTTTGGAATAGTCAGCCCTAAATGAGATGTCACCATCCAATTCCTCCCATAAAATCTCAGGGAAACTCTTAGAAGAAGAGGTAGAAAGATTGTAAAACTCAGAGGGGATGGAGGACATAAAGAAAACAAGGTCCTCTGAAGCTTGCAAAGCATATAGGAATTCACAGAAACTGAAGCAGTATACATAGGCTCTGCACGGGGCTTCACTAGGGGATATATATAGATCCTGATTTCCTGCTTAGTGATTTTCTGGAATTCCTGAGTTTTTGAATGAGTGGGTCTCATATTCTTGTGCTTTCTCCTGGGTTCTTTTCCTTCTACTCCTTTTTTTTTTTTGTTCAATTCGGATCCGTTAGTTTTTCTTTTATCTTATTAATTTTTTGTACTATTTTACTATTATTCCTTAGATACCTGTTTTTTTTTTCTAAAGAAAGAAGGTGGGTCCAGGCGGGAGAGGAGGTATGGAGGAACTGGGAATAGTAGAAGGAAGGGAAACAGTGATCTAGATATTTTATGTGAGGGGAAAAAAGTCTATTTTCTTTCAAATTAAAACAAAACAAACAAACAAAAAAGGTCTACAGGGTGAGTTCCAGGACAGCTAGAAGTGTTACACAGAGAAACCCTGCCTTAAAAACAAAAAACAAAACAACAACATCAAAAAAAAGAAAAGAAAAGAAAGAAACAGAAGGAAGTAATATGGTCAAGACAAGCATGCCTCTGGATGCTACCAGTTTTTGCTGAAAAATAAAAGAACACTTTGAAAGTTCATTAAGATAGGAGTTTGCACCTAAAATTAGCAGCTTTGTCCAGTGACTAATACTATTTTAACAAATTATTTAATCAACCTGTGCTTCATTTTCCTTGTGTATGAAAATGGGATATTACTATTCTTTAATTCAGAATTTTATGAAGACCACAAGTTAAGAACATGTATGATGTCCTTACAAGATTACATAGCAGATAGTATGGATGCTAAAAGGTAACTATTGAGACACACAAGAAGACAGAAATATCTTGGTCTGTAGCAATTGGACCCTGGCTGCTTGGAGCCTGACCCAGCTGCTTGTGCTGCTTCTGGGAACAGGAGAAAGAAGTTGGTCTGGGTGTGTGGGGGAACCACAGAGAGAAGCCAGTCTGCTCTTACTCTTGACAGCCAGCTCTGTGTTGGCTAGACACTGAAAATGTCCTTGTTTCTATGAGCAATTTTGTCCTGGACAGAGGGCAGAAATCCTAAAAGCGTTTAGGGGAACTGCTTAGTGTTGTGACTTCTTGTTTTCAATCTTTATCCTCTTTTCATGGAGAAATGAATGAACACAGCAGCCTGGAAGCTGTGTGTGATCAGACACTCTCCTGGCCCCAAAGTGTGCAAACCTTCAGTCCAATCCAGACACTATGGAAGAGAAGATCACGGAGACATTCTAGGTGGAACAGTATTGAGCAGGCCATCCCTGCATGTCTCAACCTGGTAAAGCCTTATTAACCCCTAGATGGACCCTTTGGGGGTATAAAAAAGCAATTAAATAGTTGTCTTTTCTGTAAAAGAGAAAGGCTTTATTACACTGTGAATTTTTTTATTATAACAAGGAACTTAAATCTTTTTATCTCCCCCACCTTGTAAAACTTTTATTTTCACAGAGTCCTTGCTACATTCTTAGAACTGAAGTGCCTTAATTTTCCTTCATTTCATTTGTGCTGTCTTTTAAAACTAACCAATCAAAAAAAAAAAACTGTGAGATGGGACCCTAGCCAATAGGAAAGACACAGTCATCACCTGCATTAGAATAAAACGGACTAAACTTCTGGCCTCTGATGGTTTGCTCTTCTGCTTTGGTGAACAACACATGTTTCTGACTGGAGTAAAGTTTGTCCCTGTTGAGGTCTCTTTCTTTGCAACTCCAAATTGACTTCTAACAATGGCAGTCCTCTCTGGAGGCCACACCCATTATGCACTGTCTGCCTGCCCCCTTTCACTCATGTTCTCACCTACAATAAAATTACTTCCTGAAACTAAACCTTCCTTGTCTGTAAAATTCATTTGGTGACATTGCACTGCAGTAACTTTGGAGGCCACTGAATGTCTTGGATCCTGGTATACCTCCACCCTCAAATTATTCTCACCTGAGGTGTCTACCTCATGGCCCTGTCTTCCTCTGCCTCTTTCAAACAATTAGGTCCTAACCCCTACTTACCCATGGAGAAATTCACTATCTAAGAAGACAGTGAGATGTTTGCTTCTCACCCAACCTCACAGAGGACCCACAGAAATTACTCCAAGTAAGTCCCTAACTATTATAACAGACCCTCCATTTCTTCTCAGGAGGCAGTTCTCTCTTAGAATTCACCTTCTGTATTCATGTCACTCAAACAGCATATGCCCTTTAATAAAACTTTTGTATTGATTCTGGCCTTTGACATTGACATTCTGTTCCTGGCACATCAATACCCAAAATGTTACTTGGTTGAATATTTCTTGAATAATTTCATCTACGGGTTCGCTGTAAACACATGTTGTTTGTGATTGCAATCCAACTCTATCATTTCAAGGTGGAATGATGAAGTGTTAAACACGTGCTTGGGCTTTTCTCAATGCAGTCTTTAATAGTATAAGAAGATATTTTGACAGGCCTTTCTGAGAAAAACACGCGCCTTGATCCAACACATCTATAAATGTTATGAAACACCAAGTATCAACCCAATTCAGTCAAGTTAAATTATACAAACAAAATGTAAGGTTTAAGACAAAAAGCAGAACTCTCTTCCCTAAGATGACCTATAATGACAGGCTAGTCTGAGGCCAACCTGGTCTACAAAGTGAGTTCCCAGACAGCCTAGCCCTGTCTCGAAAAACAAAAACAAAACAGACAAACAAAATTAGTAGTTTTCTTGAGAACCCTAATAAAAATATAAAGCCAGTGGGATGTTCCCACTCTTGTTTTCACTGAGCTTTAGTGTTTCTCTTAATATCTTCAGTTTCCCTTGATTTTCTGAAAGTTTCCCTATATGCTTTTTCTAAGCCAGTGACAATTAAAAAAAAAATCCAAAGGAGTAAAGCCAAAGAGGAAAAAATCCCGTTTGATTTTCCTACCCTTCCCCTTTCCTTATTTCCCAGCCACTAATCCCCTCTCAAACTGCACAATAGAGCAGCTAGACATAAAGAAGGGAGATAAAGTTGGCCAGCTACTACATTGTGCTTGCTAATCTGAACCATTTACATAAGGGTTAGGAGGCTTGTTTTATCATTTAAACAGATTTAAAAGCCCTTTGCAAATGAGATTTAGTTCCTACAAAAGAATGAATTGGTGCTATTTGGCCAGTTGCTTCTAGCCCAGAGCTGACTTGGCAGTAACCAAGCCGCTTCTTGGGCCACATGTAGTGTAAGCAAAGATTACTTCCAGCTGCCCAAACCTGGAAGCCTCGAACTGATTAAATTCTTACCAGGAGGTGAACAGGATGAGGGCCAGACCCAAAGGCCAATTATACCAGAACTTGAGCTCTACCTGAACAAACACTTTTTAGGCAGGTGCTTCCAAGGTGGTTGAAAAGTTTCTGCACCCCATAAGCCTCTCCACCGCCAATGCAGCAATCCAACTCAGACCAAATCAAACTGAATTAGTAAAATTCCATGTGTAATGGATGCAACAATCCTGGATGGTCTTCCAGCCCCCAGAGAGGAGACTGGAAAGAGTGACCAGAAAACCACATGTCTATTTTCTGAGGGGCTGGGAGGGCAGTTTAAACACCCTGGGGGAGTGGTCCTGAGCATCGTTGGGGGAGGGGTCATCATTAGTCAGGCTTTCTGAGATACAGCAGGTTTTGGAGGGAGACCAGTGAGAGGGACTTGGGTGCATCTTCTACCACAACAGTGGTTCTGGGTGTTCAAACCCCCTTGAGTCTTCTCTTGAAAGACAAATTGAGAGCAGACAGGGAATTCACTACAGAGACTAAAAGACTCAATACAGTCTCAGGCTGTGAAGTGAAGACCATCTAAGCTCTTTGATTCACTGTTGGTCAGTCTGGCCTTGGGTACAGAGATAAACAGCAAAACTAACCCCTTTGCCTGTGTCAGAACAAACATGAATAGGATGAAAACATGTTCATAGCACATACTACACTCTTCGCATCGAAATCTCAGATTTAAAAGAATGGAGATGGTGACTCTGTATAGCACACACAAGCTATGTGTTTTACCTGGCACACCTTGAGCAGATGTTCAATGTGACTTTGGCCTGTGGCTCCACAGTGTGAGTAGGGCGACCTTGGTTAAATTTGCTCCCCGAAAGTACCAGGGTGGTTACGCCCTCCATTCTTAAGTCATCCAGATCTTCTGTAAAAACACAACAACAGAGAGAATTAAATCCAGGTGCAATAAACAGAGAAAGAACACGTTTTATAGCACCTACCAGTAATTTGTAATTCACTGGTATTTTGTATTTTCTATGAAAAAGAACAGCTCATGTGTAATTATATTTTCCATTTTTTTCTGGGTGTAGTTGTGTCAATTGCAACTCCACAGCCTGACACACCCACCTGCATTCTGAGGGGCTTGTCTACTCATAACGAGAGACCAAAACTAGGGTCATTTTAGAAAAGAGGGCAGGAAACAGAATATGGGCACTTCACCCCATAACCTATGCAGCTGACCCACATCACCCACCCCATTCCAGGAAAAGCAGGCCTTCAGAAAGAACAGATAACCACACGGCCCTGCCCTGACCCTAGCAGGAACAACAGATACTCCGGGTTAATCAACAGAGTTGTAAAACAACTAATGGGCTGGCAAAAACAGCAGAGACAGCTGATCTGAACAGGGGAGAGCTCTTGGACCCCAGAACGACAGTGGGGAGGCCAGCATGGGACTGATCTGGACCCCCCAAATGTTGAGTGTCAGCGAGAAGGCCTGGGCAACCTATGGGCCCCTGAGCTGTGGATCAGTGTCTATCCCTGGAATACAAACAGTCTTCGTGTGCCTATAGCACAAAGAGGGATGCTCTCTCAGCCTGGACTCTTAGGGGAGTGCCTGGACCCTACCCAGAGTGAAATGACAGACTCTAGATATCCCCTATGTGGAAGGATTTGGCAATAGGGTGGGAGGGTGGGGGGGGAAGGGGAGTGCAGGAGGAGGGGAGGGAGAGGGAACTGGGATTGACATGTAAAACAAGCTATTTAAAATTAAAATAAAAAATGATAAAAAAGCTATAAAAAAAGATTAACCTGTGGAAATCCCCCATCTTCCACTAGACATCCCAACCAATCAAATTTGAACCTGTACCCCTCACCCTATCCTGTAGGTTTCCTCCTTATATACCTCTTGCTTAAAGACTCAGGGTCTTCTCCTGCAACTGCTGTGTCAGCCTGTGGGACAAGGTCCCTGCCTAGGCTTGAACTCAATCAAGAAACCTTACCCTTGCATTCAGTGAGTGGGCCCCAAGCGATGGTTGCTCTGGGAGTCTTGTGGACTGGGCATAACAAGGTAAAACTATGCTAAAGAATCAGGGTCAGACAGCTAAACCTGAGATGAACTCAAGGAATCCAGTGACAGGGAAGGAGGAGTGATGAGCAAAGGAGTCAAGACTGGGCTTGTTTAATCCACAGAAACAGCTGACCTGAACAAGGGGGAGCTCTTGAACTCCAGACTGATGGCTGGGAATTCAGCATAGGACTGATCCAGACCCCCTGAATGTGGGTGTCAGTGAGGAGGCCTAGGCAATCTGTGAGGCCTTGGGTAGTAGATCAGTATTTATCCCTGACATACAAATGGACTTTTGGGTGCCCATTCCACAATGAGAGATGCTCTCTCAGCCTCGACTCTTGGGGGAGGGCCTAGGCCCCGCCCTGGATGAAATGACAGATTATGGACACCCCACCATGGAGGGCCTCACCTTCCCTGGGGAAAGGAGTAGGATTGGGGAAGGGGAGAAAGGGGATTGGTGGGAGGGCATGGGAGGAGGGGAGGGAGAGGGAGCTGGGATTGACATGTGAAGCAACCTTGTTTCTAATTTAAATTTAAAAATAAAAAAAGACAAAAAAAGAAAGAAAGAAAAAAAAAAAGAATCAGGGTCAGACTGTATGAAGCCGCATCAGGTTTATTAAGTAGAGGTATACATTTTAGGTTTAAGCGTAGGCATCAGTGAGCAAGACAAAAGGTGGGTCCAAAGCAGACATCCAAATGGCTGTTTTGGTGACAATGTCCTTAACAGAAGGGCTCCGACCAGGTAAACAGGGGCCTAAATTCAGCTACTGGGGTATCTCTGGTGGGGAGGGTTCTGTTTACCAGGAAAGTAGATGTTGTAAATAAGCCCACATTAGCCCTCCAGGAACCACACTTAATCCATCCACAAAGGGTTAGGGTTAGGGTTACACTCAACATGCTCTCGAGTCTTAATAGCAGCACAAGTATTTTTAAGGCTTATGAAATTATATTGGTGAAAGGATGTATTTTGCAACCAGTATCACAAAGTAAACCAAGTACAAAATGGACATAGTATTAAACTGCCTTGTAAACACAGAACTCTACATGCTGAAGTGAGTGCAGCTTCCCCACCCTCTGTCCCCGTGCGGAAGCTTCTTCATGCAGTAGACAGTGGTTAACATGCACAACTAGCCCAAGTGTAGAGAGTAAGAATCTGTGGAGTGTGCATCATAAGGGTGACATCTCTATCATACAGCCTCTCTAAAAGGCTCTAGACCAGCACTAAAGAGGGGACTGTGATAAAGCATTGTCCTGTGGACATGGCAGCGCCACTGCACTAAGGAGTCATGGTAGCTATTGCTGCCTGCACTTGTGTACTTGTGCAATGTGATTCCACAAGAAAAAGTCTTTCCAGACATGCTGAACCATAGGATGGTAAGGATTCAGCTATGCTCTCCTCTGTGGCTTCAGCTATACTTCCCAAGTTGAAACTTCAATTCACAAGGATATTTGTTTCTTTCTTTTCTTTGTGCCAGTCCAATTTGAGAGTACCTCTTAATCTTACTTACCTAAAGATTCTCATTTTGGTTGTTTTATAGATTCAATTGCTTATCCTGAGAATTATATTAAACATAAGCAATTGGTTTTCCTTTGTAGTACTGCTTGGTCACAATGGGGAGTGGATTATGATCACCCATGGTCTGAAATGATGTCTTTGATCCTAGAATCTTTGGGGATTTAGAAAACGTCATAGAGTGCCAAGGCAAATGGTAAGACATCGCTTACATTCAAGCTTTCTTCTGTCTCTAACTATTCCTCTCTGTTGACCCTGCACTATATCTCAGACCCTGTTACTGCATGGAAAGTCTACTCCATTCAAAGACTCCTGAAGACCGACTTCTGGACTTTGATCATGCAGATTATGTTCCACCTCCCTGGTCTTATTACCAAACCCCCAACTACTCCTGATTGACTTCCTCTCCTCTTCCAAATGGTCAAAATCTGGCTGATGACTTCCTCCACCACTGTGTTTATGTGTTTGCTTCTAGATCAAAGACAATTGTATAGGGCCAACTATTAGCAAGCACAGAAGCCTGTTAAAACTTAAGCAAGTATTGGAAACAAATATTCTTGGTGTCTCACAAGCAAGAGCCCCATATAATATACTTATTCTAACTGTCACGAAAACAGATGGTCCATGATGGCAAGTTAAATACTACAGGGCCATTAATGTCCTTTCCTTATAAAGCGTTTGATTTTACCCAGTTAGTCCTTTCCAACAGACTATTCCAATTATCTCCACTTGAGCTTCTGATATATTCCTACACCAGCGTCCCTTTCTAAACACATTCATGTTTCTTCCTCTTTGTTTACCAAAAGCTATAAAATAGTCATCACAATTTCTTTGAGATATCGGATTATTTTTTGACCCCTTTCCTAGCATTCCTGTCTTATTAATCAGCTCCCTCTATTCTTTATAGGTAGGAATTCAACCAAAATGGAGGGAGTTGCCCAAGTAGGATCATTGTAGTTACTTTGCAACCAAGAATTACAGTTACAATATTTAGTCTTTTTGTATTTGGCAAAATTAAAGAAAAATACTCTGCCATCTACCCTGTCTTAGCGAGTCTAAAGATTTAGATCTAATTTATCTTTTATCATTAGTAAGGAAAACTATAATTATAATTATCTAGTTTTTAATTCCATCAAAGATCCCAGAAGGATATAATATTATCTGAGTAAATAGGAAGTACATTGCAAGCAACTTCCAAAACTTTAGAAATGGCAGAGACATTTGGCTACCTGGACAGTCATCCAAACTTCTTTGCAGCATTGGGTCATCCATCTTCAGCCTATAGGCCTAAAGTAGCTGACAGACTTTTCAGTGAAGTAGAAAAGTTGAAGGACTATTATGCCTTGTATTAGCAAAGTTTGTCAGTGGCTTTCCTCTGTAACCTGCAGAATGTCTGCCAGACTCTTATGTGAAGCAAGAACCCTGCAGAATCATCCCATCTTGTTTTGGCAAAGTTTAGCAGTCATTTTTGTCTGGATCCTTCATGTCAAGTTTACACAGCATACTGTCAGCAGTCAAAGACAAGAGCAGTTTATTTGCCCAGTGGCTAACCTTACCACATTAAAAACAAACCCCATAAAGAGTTTCTTCGATTCCCATCATCCTCTTTGAAGTAACTGCTGCTTCCAGGATCAGACATGTCTCATTGTCGAAAAAAAAAAGTCTAAGTACTTAAAACATTTTTTTGGAGATGGCTGATCAAGCTACTTAAAACATTTTAATTGCCATTTTCTGTAGGTCTTTGAAGTGTTTGGTTATTATCTATCTGAAATATATATCTGTCTTATTCTGAAAATGTAACTAACATCTATATGTTTGATAGATATGTGTGACCATTAGTCTGTATTTCTTTATTAGCCTGAATAGCTTTTAAGGAATAAAACTTCATATTGTATAATTAAATAAGCTGTATAGGTCTGAGCTGCATAGGTAATACCTTAGGCAAAAATAGAAGCAAATGTGCAGTATAAGAACAATTACCTTAAATTTGTATCAATATACAAAAATATACTTAACAGAAATAGAAAAACAATTTGAATTTGTACCTACTGTCTCTGGGTGAGGTATCTTTAGGATCCCTGAGAAAATTTGAGATAATGGGCTAGTCCTGGGAAGACCAGTTATATCCTTTATTGATAGGTATCACCTGTCAAGGTTCAGGAGGTCTCCCTTGATCAAGGCTGGTCCATCCTAACCTGGAATGAATCTATAGCCTCTTATTTCCTGTAGAAACAAAAGCAAAACTTCTCCAAAGCAATGCATCTTTTACATTCCATTTCACAAATATATTTTTTGATTTCTGGTTTAAAACTAAAACATTTTAAAAATATTTAGGTCAGTA